GAGGAAGAGCTCAATGGTATAAAACTTTAAAAAGAAGTTTTGTTGTGTTTCTTGGAAATAAAATGTGCAGAGGACATTAGTAATATACCAGAACCTTGAAAAGAATGAGAGAAATGTAAAAATTAAAAAAAAAATCCATAAAACTTTAATAGGAATATTGGTATTGACTTTGATTATGTGAGAGACCTAACAACTAGGGATCATATTGTTAAAATAAATTGAAAGACAATTCCTAAATTTCATTAATAGAAGTAACAATTGAATGATTAAAATTGCATTTTTTTTGAAAGGAGTGATCAAATGAGTGAAACATGATTCTTGTATCAGAAAGTTACAATTATCACCTCAAAAAAATGCATTTTTTTTGTTTTATTTTTATTATTCCTGTGTGAATTTCATTTTTGGTCCTATTGTTATAAGTGCTTTTTCAATTTTAGTCCACCATAATTATTTTTGTCACATTGCGTCCACTATTATTAAAAGTGTTCCAATTTTAGTCCACTTTAAAATTTTTCGTGGACTAAAATTGGAACACTTTTAATAATAATGGACTCAATGTGACAAAAATAATTATGGTGCACTAAAATTGGAATGTCCCCTATAACAATAGGATCAAAAATGGAATTCACTCACTATTCCTTGTTAGGAGACAGAAATAGAATATGGGGGATCATTTTTCCACTCTTCTAACCATTATAAAAAGTACATTTAAAAGGAAGGAGAATTAAACTTGAAACTTTTTATTTAAAGTAATATATTTATGCTCTAATTCTCTCTTTAAAAAAAAAAATTATGCTCTAATTACAATGAAATCATTGTGGGTCAAATGAGATCCAATTTTGTTAAAGAATCATGTTGTATACCCTAACATTTATCACTCATAAATAGTTACTTCTTCTCTCAAAAGGTTGAATCCTCAACCCCAAGGGTCCTCACACTCTGCCCCGATAAAGCATTTGGGGTGATATAAATTGCGGTGACTCAATGACTCAACAGACATGGTCAAATGCCGGTGCATACAGAAGATCTGCCCACTTTGAACATAATCTCACACTGCCGCTGCTGATGTCTGACCTTTAATCTTTTCTCTCAAATACTGCCTACTGAACCAGTGAGTTAAGCCGGTGTGAGCTAAATAACTACTTCTTGATATATATTACTAGCCGCTATTCGTGCCTAATCACCTAATTATGTGAGTCTCTTAGATAAACCATAAACATCTTTCGTTGTGTAAGGAGAAATCACACTTTTAATCTTTTAATTATTGTTTGTTATGCAATTTAAATCCCAATTGTCAATTTTAAGAAATTTAGTCCTTCAATTGTTTTAAACGTTACCAACTTAGTCTTTTGTAGTTTTGGTATGTTAAAGTTTACTGTAAGTCGTTGTAAGACTTGTGGTAAGTCTTAAACTTTAAATACCAAAATTTTTTGTATCATTAAAGGGGGGGGGGGGGGGGGGGGGAAGAGAGAAGAAAACAAAATCATGCATGTAAACTTCATTTCGGGGAAAACCAAGTTGTCAGTGGAATATCTGTATCTACCTAATCCCAACAAATAAAGTGGATTGCCAATAACACACTATTCTCAAATTGAACCAACTTACAAGCCAAGTTTTTCTTTTCTTTCTTCATTTTTTGTTTTTATTTTAACCGTGGACCATAGTTCATCTCAATCAATTTCCAATTGGTTCAAATTGGCTAACCTCAAAACACGGCCGGATCGCGGCATTATGCTTACCTTCTTTATTTATTTAAAATTTATTTTTAACCCAATTATGATAATAATTTGTTTATTGAAAAAAAGTATATAAAAAATAAAAGATTTATAATCTTGATGAGACACACGTATAAAAGAGTGTTAAGTTGTGAAATAGAATAATACTCCGTATTTGTTTCAGCCAAATTATACATGTTAGAATTAGCACTTGAAAATTTTATTTTAGTGCTTGGAGAATGTAACCAACTTCCCAGCAAGTTTTAATGTGGACCATGATCCATGTACGTAGTAGCATGAACGCAACGTGGACCATGGTATGAGCTCAATTTAAGTATGTGCCCCATCTCAACTAATAGTTGGATTGCACATTTATATTTATATATTATATATATATGCTCAACACATCCCCTCACATGTGCGGGCCGATTACTTGATTACTTTTTGATAGACTCCAAGCAACACGTGGACCATATAGTCTCTTTTTTATCGAGTGACGCGGAAATTTAAACTCACGACCTTTGGCATGTGGTTGAATTGGCTCTGATACCAAATTGGTGCATGTATTACTAAAAGCTAATAGTTGGATTGCAAATTTATGTTTATATATTATACTAGCATTTTGTACGCGCGATGCGCGAAAACTTATGCCCAATATTAAAATATTTGTAAGTAACAAAATTTAAAAAACTAGTTAAAATTATATTTTGCAATTTCTTAAAGTGATGATACTTTTGAATTATCATATATTTGAATAATATAGTGATCAAAACAAAAATAAATAAATTATATTTTTATATAATAATAATTTACAAATAATACTAAGCCGACACTCACATATATGATATATTGATATGGATACACAAATAATATATATACATATTATATATATATATATATATATATATATATATATATATATAATTTAATTTAACATTCATATAAATATTTAATTAAAATATAATTTATAATTAAATTAATTGTTATATGATAATTTTAATAAAATGATAATTAAAAATAGGAAAAAGATATGATAGATGTAGGTGTATGGTAAGATTGGTAGATATATTAAAAACTAACGGTGTTATAACGGTGTAAGGGTGATTTTGTCCAATGCAAATGAATGTACAACAATTAAAACAAAATGTATATATTTATTAGCATATAAAAAAGGGACAAAAATCAAGGATATAACTTGTATTGACACTTATTATGTTTTTAGATATGCTCAACAACTTTGTTTTAGTTTCATTTTTCATACACTCTAGTTTCATTTTAGTAACGATATGATGAAGTATCATTTTTATTACACTTCATCTTTTTGCTATCCAATTTCATTTTATACACATAATAGGTTCATTATAGCAACACTAAAATTTTACTTTAATTTCAAAATGCGTTAATGTGACTATATACATATTTATACATACAATATGTTCATTTTAGCAACACTAAAATATCATTTTAATTTTACTACAAGTTCATTTAAAAATATACATATTTATTTAAGCTTTGCTATTCAGTTTTATTTTATAGATACAATAAATTCAATACTATAGCAACACTACAGTACAATTTTAATTGTACTACAATAAGTTCATTTAAAATATACATATTTGTAACATATCACTACGATTCACACAGCCGTGTGGACCATAATGCTCCTCCATATAACGGTTGACGAACTTCCTCCTCAGGCCTACAGTAAAAATGATGTTCATTTGAACATTGTGTAGAGGCAGTTGTATACACAACACACAAGTCCACTCGTGGGCCAAGACTAAGGTTTGGTTCTTGAAATTATACTTGTCGACATTGTTGAAAACATTATTATATATAAAGTTTACACTTCACAATATTAACAAAATTTATATCGACCTGTAAAAATAACAATCTGTGTCCGTTCCTGACTAGGAACGCACATAGATTGTCCAGACAATCTGAGTCCCTTTCACAATGGACGGTCGACAGTATATGCATATGTTGTACAGCAAAATGTCCTTTACAAAAGTGATTGTTTTTGTACTAATGGTATTATAAAAAAAAAAAAAATAAGGTTTTAATTTTAAATGAAATGTGAAGCAGGGAAGGTATAATGTATATCCATCTAGGCCTAAAGAAAGTAGGGCAAGAATCGAACAATTCGAGGCGCGGTCGGCGACAAACAAAGAGGATGAATGGAGGCTTATGATCTTCATAATTTTAGCTCTATCTTTCCCTCTTCATCAATAATTAAATGGGACACACCCAAAAAAAAAAAAGGCTACTGATTTTAATATCACATTTGACAATTTGTGCAGTGCATATTGTCATGTAGTAACATAATTGAGACTTAGTCTTTTAATATAATCTTTTAATGAAGTGAAACTAATCCAAATGTATTTGTCAACAAGGGAGGGGCACAATCTTTACTACTGTGAGGAGTTGTGGAGATAGATCATAGATAGCAAATATAACATCATCCATAATACATATATAGTAGTTTTAAGATAAGAAGTGAAATCTACTCATACTCAATGCAAAAAAAGTTTATTATTGGGCATCAACTTGAAGGGTTAAGTCTAACATCCTTGTATTGAACGTGACACTAATTGCTATACAATTATAACTTTTGGTATAATGGTAAAAGTTTGAATTGTTGGGATTAAAAGCTTACCATTACACCAAAAGCTATAGCTACTAGCAAAGATGTAATTTTATTTCCTTATACGTGGATAGCAGTCAGTGCCACGTTTCGATGGCAGGATGGTGGACTCGCCTCACTGAGCCGCCGCCCAAGTCCCAACAATCCCCCAGCACCCTTGACCTGTCAGGATCAAACACTTACCACTACACCAAAAGCTACTATAACTAGTAGCGAAGACAACTTTATTTCCTTATACTTGGATAGCAGTCAACCCCACGTTTCGATGGCAGGATGCTGGATTCGACTCTCCGAGCCGTCTCCCAACATTAATAACGATAATTGGTATTAGAACAGGGTAGTCACGCGTTCATGACGCTGACTGTTATGCAAATATAATGAGATAATAAAGCTGAGTATGTATTCAAATCCTACTACTTATAATTTAAGAATGTGTTTCTTTTTAATAGGATAGAACTCATCCACATCCAAATAGTTATTAGTTGTATCGTATAGAATAAGAACAGGCTCATCAAATCATGGCAAAGAAATGAGAAATATATATTTATAGGCTTATTATATTCTTAGGGGTTTAAAAAGTATCACATCACGTAGCCATTACTACCTATAAAACCAGGTCTTCTCTTCATACATTTCTCACCAACAATCAGAGACAGCTAACTTTTCAAGAACAAAGATTGATCATCAACACAGAAAGTACACCAAGCTAAGAGAAAAAGTCCAGAAAGGATGGGCAGAGCTCCATGCTGTGATAAAGCTAGCGTGAAGAAGGGTCCATGGTCTCCTGAAGAAGATGCTAAACTAAAGGCTTATATTGAGAAGCAAGGCACTGGTAACAATTGGATTGCTCTTCCTCAGAAAATTGGTATAAATATATATCTATCTCCCGATCTGATTCGATTCGATTCTGTACTGTTTTTTTACTTTCTTGTGAAGAAAATTAAAGTTTTTGTTTGATTGTTTGTAGGGTTAAAGAGATGTGGAAAGAGTTGCAGGCTAAGATGGTTGAATTATTTGAGGCCTAATATAAAGCATGGTGGTTTCACTGAAGAAGAAGACAACATCATCTGCAGCCTCTACATTAGTATTGGCAGCAGGTCAGTTTGTCCCTCACCTCACCTCTCTATCTCAACATTAAAAGAAAAAATATTTTGTGTCAAAAACCTAGAAGTAGTTGTCCTCTAGCTCTTGTTTTCTGATTCTTCTGATTAATTAGGGAATTATTAACTTCATCATCACTTCCAAGATCACATCTGTATATGCATATATACATACATATATTGTTTCAATGAATTCTAGATCTTTCTTTGTGGCCTTTCTTGATCCTTAATATTCCTTGCAAAAGCTGAAATTCTTACACTGTATATGCATATCATCCTTTTGGGTGACTAGGGGAAACCCACGGCCACTACCCTAGTCGACAAAAGGAACACAAGGAAGTAAACTAGCTTAGGTTATTCATGACTGATTGACTCAAACCAAGAAAGTCAATTGGCCACTCTTATTGGGAGTCGAACTGCCTAGGTTGCCCATGGCCGATCGACACAAACCAAGAAAGCCAATTTACCACTCTTGTTGGGAGTCAAACTGCCTAGGTTTCTCATGACTGATCGACCCAAATCAAGAAAGCCAATTGGCCACTCTTGTTGGGAGTCGAACTGCCTAGGTTTCCTCTGACCGGCTCAAACCAATAAGAAGGCCAATAAGGTGAATGGGTCGTTCCTACAAAGAGTCGATTGAACTTGTAACTTTGTAATTATAAGCTAACATCTAGATCAACTTGGGTTGTCTCCACTGTATCATCGTTTTGATCATAATATAATAATATAATGTTCAAATTATAAAACCCCATAGAACTAGGTCGGGCTTGAGTTTGAACACTTTTCGAGGTCTTTCTTTTGAATTCAAAAACCCTCATTTTCATATTTTTCATTTCTCCAGTTACTAAACGCACTTCGATCTAACTTTTCCCCTTTCATGTTTTGAAACCCTAGGTGGTCTATAATAGCTGCACAATTGCCAGGAAGAACAGATAACGACATCAAGAACTACTGGAACACAAGGCTGAAGAAGAAGCTGCTGGGAAAGCGAAAACAGTCACAGATGAACAGATTACTGCTAGCAGGCCATCATCAAGAAGCCGATAATAAGGAAACAAATGGAGTTTCTGAAGAGAATCCATTCCTGCAAAACCTAAGCAACTCAGCTCTTGAAAGGCTTCAACTCCACATGCAGCTTCAAGGCCTTCAAAACCCTTTCTCTCTCTACAATAACAACAACCCACAAGCCCTTTGGCCTGGTAACAAGATCACCCCCTTTCAACCAAAAATGGCTGATGAGCCAATGAATGAACAGGAGCAGATGCGCATGTTAGCAGCCCAACCAGAGTACAGTAGCAAGATGAATGAACTGGAAAGTTGCATGAATAATAATGATGGGTCGTCGAGTTTGGGGCAGGAGAATAATAATAGTGGAGAAATTCAGGCGGCTATTCCGGGGTTTACCCAGTCTGAGATTGACAGTCTTCTCATCAATGGCGGCGAGAATCATCAGATTTCAGATTTCGACTACTGTTTCAAACAGGTTATGGAGGGATCGAAGGAGAGGTTGGAATGGTGGAACACTGAGTTTGATACAAATTCTTGGGTTGATCCTCCACTGCTTCCTCCTCCTCCTCAGCAGGAGGGAATAATGTATGAAGACTATGCATCACTAGGGTATAATAATATGTAGTATATATGTGAGGTTAATTAAGGAGCTGATCTGATATATAATTTCTGTTGTAAATTGTGTGAATAATGTTTATCATTTTTCATTGCAAAATAATTCTATACCTTTTGCAAATGACTCATATATTACATTTACTTTTTTTTTTTTTCATTTTCTTGTTATATATTGCAGTTGAAATATATATATATATATATATATATATATATATATATATATATATATATATATATATATATATATATATAGAGAGAGAGAGAGAGAGAGAGAGAGAGAAATGCGCTATCATATGCCATGCGGTCCTGTGGTCTAATATGCATCGTTTGATCATTTACATCCAAAGGCGCGGGACAATCTAAATGCACCATGTATCACTTGAAAATGCACCACACAACACTCAAAAATACATCACATACTAGCACGTAATACACCTCGTTGACGGGTCTATTGAACCCGTCGAAAGGTTTGACACCCCCGTTGATGTAATACAAAACAATGCACTATTAATCACTCAAAAATGCACCATAGAGCACTAAAAAATGCACCACAGAGCACTCAAATATGCACCACACAATAGCACCCATTAACGGGTCTATTGAACCGTCGACGGGTTTGAGTAATGTAATACAAATCAATGCACCATTAATCACTCAAAAATATAATGCACCACAGAGTAATTAAAAATGCCCCACACACTAGCACGTAATGCACCGTCGAAATATACATGGTGCAAGAAATTACGAAATTCCAACCACGTAATTTATCTTCTTCATTGATTTCCAGCAGTTTGATCTCAGCTCATCCTATGGTTCTAATATATCCGCATGACGGCACAGGAGACTAAGGCCGCACCTGAACTCTACTCTCTCTCTCTCTCTATATATATATATATATATATATATATATATATATATATATATATATATATATATATATATATATATATATATATATATATATATATATATATATATTATTTATTTATTGATTTATTTATATTTATATTTATATATTATAAAACGAATATGAAATGCTTAGGATGATCTTATCATATTATTGATATATTATCTTCATTATTTTTTTAATTTTGAACAGACCAATTTTTGTTTTCTTCCATTGTTTTGAGAGCCAAAAGAAGAATTGTTTCTCTCATTATTTTCGTAAGTTGTTCTGGGCCATACTTTGGTGTTATTCTTGTGAGAGAATCAACATCTTATTGGAGATTTATACGATAAATGGTTAGTTTTATACATGTGTTCAGAGATGACATTATTACCCGAAGCTTTAATTTAGTACTATTTTGGTATAGTGTACTTGCGAATGTTATTTTAAGTTTGATATAAATTTATTAATTTTATCAATCAGGTCATATATAGTTTAATTTGTTTTTAGAAGAGTTACTCTTTTGAGTTTTATGCATGTTTTTAGTATATAATTTTTAAAAAGAGATGGGTTTGTATGTTTTGGTAGTGTCAGGAATAAAGTGTAATTATATTTAAATTTTGATATATGATGCATAATGTAACCTTTTAAGCAGCTAGCTAATGATCAACCACTAAGGTTGCAACAAGACTTCCTTAATCCTTACATTAAGACTTCTCAAGAAAGCAGTAAAGCCTCTTTGTGGGGGAGAATTTCGGGATAATCTGGGTTCGATTTTCACAAGTGACGATCTTTTTTGGGCCAGCTTCTGTGTCTCTCGGAGCGAACTGAGTGGACCTAGACCGTTAAACGAACAGAGAAAGACCCGGACCACAATGTGTGGTTGACACCAAAAAAAAAAAAAAAAAAAAAGAAAGCAGTAAAGTATCATCACAACAAAGCTCAAGATAGTAAGAGTTATTCAAAGTATTAGAGCTTAAAGGTCATGAATCATGGTCTCGAAGACGCCACAAATTCAGTCTTTTTAAAGTGAAAGTAGTAATGACTTACAACTTAACTATTTTTCATGGTTACTCCATTTAATAGGAACAAGTAACCAAATGTTAATTTTTTTGATTGTATCAATGTATTTGGCATAATCGCATAATGCCTTCATGTACTTCAAAACATTTTTTCGTTATTGTCTAGTGGTGAAGCAAGCTTAAATTTCTTTGATACTGAATCAACATTCCCAACAACAACGAACATTAATATCAAGTCAAGTACAAGTCTATAAATATCATAATCATTCGACTACGTACTAACACATCAAGAATCCTTTCATTTCTAGCTTTAATTATGTTCAATCCTAATTCATTTTTAAAACTAACTTTACGAAGCATCTTGTCATTATGAATTTCTCTAATGCTTTATTGGTATGTATGTCCATTATAAGACAATCTCAATAATTCCTATAATATCCATTCATGAACCTACCCTAATAATATATTTAAGTGATAATTGATCAATTAGTGTCATTTTTATGAACCTACACTAATTTTTTATGTACTTGTATCCATGATGCAACATGCACTTAATCCATGATAAAATTTTCTCTAATAACTCTTTAACTTTATGTTCATTCTGAGTTTCTTACTCATGCCATATATAACTTAAAAAAAAAAAAAAAAAAAAAAAAAAAAAAAAAAAAAAAAAGACTAGATAACAAAACCAGAATTTGTGCTTACAACAAGTTCAAAATCCACAGATTAGCTGCAAGTTAAAAGGCCAAAACTCTTTTGTGGTTCCATCGAAAATAACACTAACAAAGGGAAGTTATTTTCTTCCCTGCTCTTTCTGGTTCCCTCTATACTCAGAAACTCAATCTATGAAGTCAACTGAAAAAAGTCTTTTTGCTCTTTAGAAATGGTGGAAGTCTAGCACAGCTACAAATATCCAGTACATTCAAAGTCCAGATTAGTCGGCATTAAGGGCATCGAGTTGCTTTCTAAGTTCTTCAAGGTCATCCACGGGACAAGTGGTCTCAGAAGGAGGAATTTTCGGAAATTCATCTGCAGTTGGCAGCTCATGAACGAGCCCTTCTGGGAGTACACCTGAAGCGGAAAAGATAAGTGAATGATGAGAATCGATGACAACTGAAATGAATGTTTAGATAAAGCACCAAGTTAATATATAACAGATCTGATGCTGATCAATTTGTAAAGATTACCTGAACTATTGGCAATTGCACTATCTGGCTCACTGTCATCAAGTACACTGTAGGGCATCATATAACAACGGTCTTAGTTTCAATTCATCTTCAAATGTTGTAATGATTAAAAAACTTCCATGGTAAATTAAAAGTATCATCTGCCTTGAGTCTTGAATACTAAGATAAATCTGTTGTCTACATTTTCACGAGAGAGTTCTCCATCCAAGAAAAGAATTTCAAATAAATAGTCCGAGACATTACCTTATATTCCATTCATTATCATCATGAATGGCGACCTCTGTTACTTGTGATGCTTCCTCCATCTTTGCTTTTGCAGCAGCATCCCTGGCAGGCTTTGCAAGAATGTATTCCCTCTGCAGTTTGAAAGAATTTTTAGTCAAAATATCCAAGCTAAGCTGAATGATCTGTAGACTAAGGTCAAAGTGATTATACTTGTCGCTCCAAACAAGCTGCATTTGAGCATTGAGTATTTGGCTTCATCTCCATTGTTGGAAAATAATCTTTCAGAGCATTGTATCCCTGAAATCAACCCAGGGTCAAGAAGGGAAGTTAAACACTCAGTGATAACTTTTACTTTAATCACTTCAACATCCCAAGTCCAAACAGTAGCCAAACATGTGCATGTGCGTGTGTATTTTAAACACTAATCACAGCAAGTGCATAAGTGTGTGTATGGGAAGGCTGTTAGGGAAAAAAGTTACCAGATATGGGGACACGTGTCCAAACTTTAACAAGTACTTCAGTGTGTTCTGAACCAAAAGCCCCGCAACAACTCCCTACCAAAGTCAGTTAAGATGAAATGTATTAAACTAGGGGAAAGGGTTGGCAGAAGTGCTGAAGAGCATATTAAACACATCTATCTGAGCCTCATGGAGAGATTCATCAATTTAGGAATTTAAATTTAACTCAATCCCAAGTCAAATTTATCAAGTTCATTAGTCATACACAAGATTCATAACATCATCAATTTGACACAGGAATTTTATGTACTAGGTAAAAGTTGAGGCTCATGAAACAAGAAGTTAATGAAGACACAGAAAACTTACCATGGTACTTATGAAACAAGAAGTCCAGGGTCATGAAATAAGAAGTTAATGAAGACGCAGAAAACTTACCATGGTAGTAGGCAAAGAGGCAGCACACACACCTTCACGCTTGAGAGTGCGTTCATCAATTCCAGATGCTACAACCTAACAAGTAAAGAATTCAAATTATCACCCAAGATTTTAAGAGAAACTCTTCGAGTGCATGCAACACTAGGACTGACAGAAGAAAACACCCTTGATATCATTTACTAGCTTTATAAATGTCACACCAGTGCACAAGGCACTAACATCATACAAGGTCTGTGGAAAGAAAATGTAGGCAAAGTTACCTCTGTTTCCAGGGAGGAGGTTTCTAGGATTTGAAACCATGACCTCATGATCAACAAATGATCACTATGGCACTAGACCTATCCCAAACTTCTTCATCATTACTTGTTTATACAAACATTGCTTTAGTGGGTTGGACCACATCTCTTTCAGTATACTTTACAAGCATTTTTCAAAACCATGACCAAATATTTCTCGATTATAAAATTTCCAGCAAAGAAACGAGGCAATTGCAGCAATTCAATTGAGAACTGAATCTTACCAAGGGAGGCACACAAGCAAAGCAGGCAGTTTCACCAGGAATCAACAATTGTATGTGACCTGAGACAGCATTTTCAGATACACCTGCCAGAAAATTACCTCGATTAAATTTCGTAAAAGAGAATCACATATGATTACAAGGTAATAACATCTAAAAAAGACTCAAGAGTATCAAGTTCCCAGTTCCAGAGCCTTGCAATGAGTCAGTTTAGCCTGAGAATGACCCAGGACTCAAGTGGAGCTGAGTCAAAGAAGGGTTCAACCCACTCAACTTGACTCATCTCATTATTGCATCTTCCCTCTGCAACTATTGTAGGCATAAGAGATACCAGGTTGAATACCTGGTTTCTGTATGGAATTACTAAGCTATACCACCTCATGCATGCTCCAGCTTCTCT